GGAGGGACGCGGGGCGCCCCGCCGCCCGAGAGCACCACTGCGTGTGGGATCCCGACGGCCCTCCAGCGTCAGGCAGGTGTTTCTCCAACAGAAAGAAAAAAACAACTAGCAAAGGCGGCTGACAGTGGCAGCAGGTGTGGTAAAGGGGACAGTATTCTGCTTAAGGGGCTAAGATGTTTCTGGAATAGCAGAGGCATCGCAGTAGTCACATGAGGATTTTAAAAGGCCACCCAACAGGGCCACCTTGAGCTAGTTGAGGGCAATCACGATTTGTTAGAGTTAACGAGAAATTCAGGCATTAAATCTCCCCCCCCCTCCCCCCGCTCCCAGTGGCATTCCACTGGAAACAGTTTCTGCCTCCGAAACTGGCCAAGCTGCATACTTATCGGGAGAACAGCAAGGAGAGCATACTTCCTAGAGTTTATTCTGTGCTAGTGTCTTGCGAATTCTTCTTGGATAACAAAAAAGGAGGGGAAAGTATTATTTTGCAATAAAGACGCTTGGTCTTTCAGTGTGATGAAAAACACACACACACTTCTAGAGGAATCAGAGAAATTGCAAATTAAAAAGCCTCCCTTTTCTAGATTGTAATGCTGGGCTCCAAAATCTTTCAGCATCTCTTTCTGTGGCTCACTTTTGAGAGCCCCCTGCAGCTGTGTCTTCACATTGAAAAGTCAGTGGTCCCCCTTCCTATACAAGAACACAAAAGACCACAAGGGCTGGGGCGGAGACAGTTGGAGGGGAAATCACTTTCCTTGAATCTCATCCAGAGACAAATTTGCATTCGAATGAAAACACTACATTGTCAACCTCTTCTGGGCAGGAGGTCTGGGAGGATCCCGGCTTCCCCGAGGAGCAGAGAGGTTTCTGAGAGCAGGCTGGTGTGAAAAGTCGGGTGGGGTTGTACACACAGAAAGAGAGGTGCTGGGAAAGAAGGCTTTGAAATTAGGGATGGGAACTGGGTGGGGAGGAGGAAGCTGACGAGATGAAGGGAAGGGTGAGAGAGACCGAACAGATGCTATCCATTAAAAGTTTCAATTATGCCTCTCCACCCGTTTTGGAATGGCAACTGGCAAATAACAGACTGGGCTCTTCCATCCCCACATCCACAGCATTCCAAATTTTATCTGGGATGTCAGACTCATGCTAAAAGCTGAGGGAATTAAAGGAGCAACATCAAAATCCTCTAGTAAGAGCTGCATGGAAAGACAGGGAATCAAACTGTTGAAAGACATTCTCCATGTGAGGGGTGTGTGTGTGTGTATGTGTGAGTATTTATTTACATATAATATACATATTTGGTATGTATGTGTAAGTCTCTCTCTCTCTCTCTCTCTCTCTCTCCCTCTCTCTCTCTCAGTCTCTCTCTTTCTTTCTCCACTGACAGATTCTCTCCTTGAGCAAACTCTAGTGAAGCCCCTCTGTTTTGAACGAGGCCCTGTGCTCATCTCTGCATTGCACAGTTTTAGCAAGAATCCTACAGAATCCCTTCCTCTTCCCCCATGTCCGCTCACCCTCCACATCAGACAGAGTTCCTCATCTGCCACTGTCCCAGGCGGCATCTCAGCACCCAGGCCTGCCTTCAGCAAGCATCCTGCCGGGTCACTTTAACCAGAAGTGACCCCTTCCCCCCGGTGTTTCCTCTTAGCGACTTTCTGCCCACTGACCCCGCCCTGGTCTTCAGCTATAAATTCCCATTTTTCTGTTGTTATATTTGCAATTGAACCCAGTCTAGACTGAGGTCTCTTTCCCCTATTGCAATCGTTTATTTCTGAATAAAATCTGTATTTACCAGTCCTCTGTTCAGTCTGATTCTCCTCTCACACCACAGAGCGCGTATTTTGAGTTTAACAGTCGGTGGGAAGTAAATGTAAGCTCCATGATTTGTTCAATGATGTGTCTCCGGAAACTAGAGCAAAGACTGATTCATAGCAGAGATGCCACGAATGTTTACGGAATGAATGAAAAAACTGTTAGTAAAGCTGGTCCCGAGGCTTTGGCAATGAGGGCTTTCATGCGCAGAGCAAGGTGGAGAAGCTGTGCAGAACTGTGCTTACCCTGAACCCCTGAGAAATATTCCAGCAGCATCCAGAGACATGGGGGTGCTTAGACCCAATTCTGGCTTTCCTCTTGGAAGAAGTTCTGAGCATGAAATGTACAAACTGGGCTTCTCAAACCTGGCTGGATGTTATAATCGCCAGGGGAGCTTTTGAAGAAGTCTCAGTATCCATGCTGTGCACTAGCCATTTAACTCAGAATCTCTGGAGGTGAGGCTTAACCATCAGGCTTTTTGGAAGCTCACCAGGTGATTCCAATGTGCAACCGAATGTGAGAAAGAGTTATGCCTAGAGCAGTGGTTTTCCAAGTGTGGTCCCTGTTCCAGCAGCTAGCATCCAGAGCAGTGCTGGCATCACCCCCTCGTTACTGACTCAGAAACTTAGAAGGAGGGGCCCAAGGGCGTGCATTTTAGCAAGTTCTCTGGATCACAGGGATTTTGGTGATCCCTGAAGTCTGCAAGCCACTGAGCTAGAAGAGATTGTGATGCAGGGGATAGAGTGGGACTGAGTGTCTGCATTTCTAGCAGCTGCTGCTGGTCTGGGAAGCACTTGCTAAGGTGCAGGCAGTCAGCTTCTGCCTTCCCTTTACTTCTGCAGCTCTCCTGGGCCCTGAGCAATGTTCAGCAGCACAGGACCCAGCTGGCAAGGGACAGAAGAGCCTCAGGCAGGATTTCTGTGAAGTCTTCCCGAAGGAGCACAAGGAGAAAGAATTCCAGAAAGTGTGATGACAGCCCCTTGCTTACAACACAACAAACACTTTTTCCTTATGTCTTGGATATACGATATTCATAATAACCATAGAAGACATTAATGGTGCTATTGCCAAGTAGCAGAATCCTACATAATAAAAGCCTAATATGCTAAGTGTCTAATATGCATTCAACCAATCAAAGCGTAATATGCTAATGATATGCTAAGGCCGTTCAACCGCTTGCTATGATGTGCACTGAGCACCAGGGGGCAGATGCTCCAACCAGTAGGTTAGCTTGCTGCTGGCGTCCCGCCAATCGGGAGATATCAAGATGGGCCGGACACACCCTGGAGCCCTCCCACGTCCCTCTCCGGCCCGATTGTGCACTGGTGAGGTCCCTCGGCCTGGCCTGAGCCCTCTTGCAATCCAGGATCCCTCAGGGGATGACAGAGAGCCGGTTTTGGCTCGATCCCACAGGCCAGGCCAAGGGACCCCACTGGTGCACGAATTCGATACCAATGTGAAAAATTATTCTAATATTTAAATATTAGAATGACACAGATCCTAGAGAAACCTTGAATAAATTTTACGAACACTTTTCTTTTAATCTGTTGGAACTTTTTTTTTTTTTAATCTGTTGGAACTTTGAGTCTCAGGAATGCTAACTCTGCTGGATACTATTGTCTAATAAGGTTTGTTAAATAGCCGCAAATCTGCCGAAGTTTTGAGAACTGCCACACTAGCTCCACAAATTTTGACAGGCTGTAGCAGCCAATCAAAAATATTTCTAAATATTGCAAGATATTGGTGAAATTTAGCCAATAATTTTTACATGAGAAGAGAAAAACGTAACCACTAACATGTTATATTCTCTTTCAGATTGATATAGTTCAGGGTGGAAATGTTTAAAATCTTCACTGTCTAATATGACAGCCAACAGACACAGTGGCCTAGTGGGCACTTGACATGTGCACTGGATTTTAACACACATTTGATCTGAACTATTGATTTAAGTTGAATTTAAGTACTCAAATGTGGCCAGTGGCGACCTTATTGGATCACACAGTTGTATAAGTCTTTCTGCAATTTACAATATATAATCCAGGGGTGTTACACTCTGTCCGGTGGCCTATGGAGTAAAAAGTGTCTAAGAATGGTTCTTTGGCTAAACTAAGAAATATGTTTTTGACATGAATTAGACAAAAACAGTAATCTTTAGGGAGCTTGTTTCCATTCTTGTGTTTATTTTTTGGTTCCATTGTGTAATTCATTTAGCAATTCTTAGCCAGTTAGGGATACAAAAGGCTGCACTTCAAGCCTACTGCCCAATTCATAGGCTGGCTTATTACTACCTAGCTCATTGGATTAAATATAATATATACACATTTCAACACACAAAGAATTGCATCCACTTTACTGTCGTGGAAGCTCAATTCTACCTTAAATGTATGTAAATACCACTAAACTGTAAATCCAATTTTAAAGTTAGAATTGCAAAACTTCACTTAAAAAATCAAAAAAGACAACCATACCCTTCATCCCTGAGGATAGTGGGCATGTGTATGTACTAGCAATGGGAATTAAAATACTATTTTCACTGATGATGAGACCTTTAGAAGAGAAAAGACGATATAACAATTTTTCAATAGATTTGGAGAAGATTGGGCTCCAAAACTGTCCTGGATCACAGCATGAGCTCTTGGCAGGAACAGTTCCTGTTGGTGTTTTTATTTTCAGCTCTTTGAAGGGCTACTTTCCCACCCCTCCAAAATGGGGGACCAGGTATGTGAAATTGACAAGTAGAACATTGCCAGCAGATGCCCTGACAGAATAGCCTCTGACAGGCAGAGTTTTGTGAACATAAAATGTCATTCCTTTCTTGCTTCCTATTATGGGAACTTCATCAAGAGAAAAATGAAAAACATTACTTCCAATTTCTATGAATGCCATATGTAGCTTACACCTCAGATT